TTTCCCAGCTACTGAAATGAGTTAAATGAGCATACTAAAATGCACAATAAAATATAAGAATGAGCAAGTTTGGAAGCTTTAGTTTGACTGCCCGAATCCAGATCTGTTCCTAACATATCAAACTTGATTCTAGTCCCATACTGTTGTATAACAAAAATATCTTTCCTGCTAACAACTTAGTATAACCAGGTGAGGCAGAACAAAATTAAGCTTGTACTTTTTCCCTCCCAAACAAGATTTTCTGTTCTGCTGTTTGTGTAAAAGTAAATAATGAAGTAAGAAGTGTTACTATCTCATGAACAGGGCCAAGTATAGTACCTAAAATGTGTGAGTATCGATTTGAGATAAGTCAAGTTTATAAACCAGCTTGAATATAAAGTTTCAAAGGGCATGAGAGATTTGGCTTTTCATGTGTGAGGATGGAAGGGGACTTTGAACTCTTGCATTTGCAACATTTCCCAGTTGTATTCAATCCCACCTGCATTAAATTGTGTCTTTTTTCCCAACTATATAGTGTGAAAAATCTGTCGGTGTGGCAGCAACAGAAGAACAGTGCCTTTTCCCCCCCCTTTCCATGGGATGTGTGCTGTGATAAGAATCATAGAATCATAGAAAGTTAAGGTTGAAAAGGACCTTAAGATCATCTAATTCCAACCCCCCTGCCAGGTTGCTGAAAGCCCTGTCTGGCCTGGTCTTGAACACTAGTTGATAACACTTAAAAAGAGGAAGGAAATTACTGAGAAAGAAGTACATTGTTTATATAACTTTACATAACAAGGGAAAGCTGACATATTCCAGTAACATTGATACAAGGAATCAGCAAATTTAATCCTTTAGGCCATGAATCTCCAGGATGCAATCTGAGGGAAAATCCATGCACACATCTGTAGTGAAATCACTAGATATTGCACTGTTGGGCTTTGGTGCCAGGGGCTGGGACAGTTTTCCTACTCTGAGAATTCGTGTATTAGAGTAGAGAATGTATTCTCTCATATGAAGATGGAAATGAAAATGCCCTGGGAAAGAAGCATTTGCATGGCTTTTATACGTGCTAAAATATGTATTGGTAATATCTATGGTAAAAAGAAATTTATAATTTGAATAATGCTAATCTGGAAATAGACTAAGGAATACAGAAATTATCTTTTTATTCATCTTCAGTACAGTGATGACAAATACTGCCTGCCTTGAAAATGTAGTTAACTGTCTCATGTGAGCTGTTTTTTAGAGAAGCAGTGATTATGAAAGGTGCCACTGATAACCCCGCTTTTTTATAGTTTTAATATCTGTCATTTTTAAATCATACTTCTTTCCATTTGTAGCTAATGCTTTCACTAAACTATTCCTTTAGGAAAAAGCTGCTTGAAGAGGTGGACTGAATGCAGAATAACGCTGAGATTTGTCCATTAGTACTTCGGTGTGGAAAATTGCATCTCAGAACTGTGGAGTTCTGTTTCAGATTTTTCTTGTCATATTGTTGAAGTAATTATAGTGTTTGTAAGATGTGTATAATTAGATGTTGTAATGAGACTTCAGAAGTACTTTTTTGAATCTTTAGAAGTATGAGTATGTGAACACTGAAGTCTTGTGATACCTAATTTTCTCTCCTTTTCCCCTTGGTAAGTACTGACATAACTTTTTCAGATGCTGTTTGGGTGTACTAGCGTACACTGGCTTATTTCAGGCACTGAGGATAATGATATTTATCTAACCTGTCTGTAACTCCTCAGAGCTTATCAATTGCTAAATCATGTTCCTAATGTTATCTTACACCTTCTAATAGTAGCATCTGTAAGATTTGGAGATATGTAACTATCAATGGATTTGAACATCCAGTGTATTAGAATTAGTTCTTCTGTGTCAGTTGCTTGGCACTTTAGTGCATTTATATTGCTTTCATTGACGTCCTTAGCATGAATGAATAAAAACCAGATGTGAATTATGATTCGTGGTGCAAGGGAATAGATTAAATAAACTGAATTATCTTCATACATGCTTCGAGCTTGCTTAAAGACTCTTGGAGGTAAAACTGTTGCTCATGTGTTTCTAAAAGTTGTTGGTATGTGCTTATCATCAGAAGACATCTCTTCCATACAAACTCCAGCTGACCCAGCTTCCATGCATTTTATCTAGCTTGACACTTATTTTTACATTCTCTGGAGCTGTACTGAGCACTGTGAGAGTATGATTCAGTATCTCATTTTTAAGGATTACCACTTCGGCAGGGATAGTATTTGTCAGTTACCTACGAATCACCTGTAACACAATGCATGTTAAAATAATTGTAAAATAAGCAATTTGTTAACAAAACAGGAAAATAGAAAGCTACATAGTTGCAAATGTTTTTGAGATGAGATACAACAAGTGAACACTTAGGTTTAGCTGTCCTTAGATAACTCCAAAGCTTCTCTCATGCTATCTGGTTGTTTGCAGCATCCATCTAATCAAGTGGCTGGGCATCATGTTCTTATGCACAGGAAACCTGTTCCTACGCAAACTCTGCATTTTTATTCATAGAACAGAAATTTGATCTGCACATGTATGTTTCCTTTACACCCAATCTGGCCTATGGTGGTTCTGTTCAGATTCACATCGTCATCCTTTTCTCCTTTCTTGCCTGGATAAAGCTATTCCTACCTGATGACAGAGATAGTTACTGAGTCCCCTCCCACTGGACTGTTGAAAGACCCAGTGCTGCATTAAATCATTAACCTACAAATTCGCAGCCTAATGTGAGGTGAAACACTTTCTTTCACTTATCAGGGCAATGTTCATGCTAGGTATGTCTTTTGAGTTTTTGAATCTTACATTGTGTGTTACACCTGTGGCTTGTCAGTCTTGCTTTTTCCAGTCATTTAAGTGGAATTAATACCTGCAGCTTTCTGGGTTAGATTAGACACAGTGATTATCAGTCACTGTGCTATGGCTGACTTCTAACCTGCCGCTGCAAGAGCAGAACACAGTTGGCATGCTAATGGGTAGAAGCAAAAATATATCCCATTGCTCCAAGTAGTTCCCTGTTTTTGTCCATCTGGGAAAAAACAAAGAAAAACAGAAGACATTTTGCCCCAACCTGAATGAAGCTTTATTCATGCTGAACATTGTAAGATTCTTCTGTACCACTGTTCAGACAGCTGAATCCATTCAGGGAGATGGAATGAGGCAGCTTAGTGTTAAGAATATACAGTGGCATAGACTTGTTGGTGATGATAGTAGTGTGTTAATCCTCTGGATAGGCTGCCTGGGAAAGAAATGGAGGATGCAGGATCTAAAGTTTAAAGTTAGTTTAAACTTTAGTTTATGTCTCTGTCTTATTTAAATGCTCAGGCCTTTGAATTGACTGCAAGAATAGATTTTTTTCACTTCAGCTGTGATGGAGGTGGTGTAAAGTCCAGCTGCTTCTGAAATGCTTCATTCATTGTGCTAGCACTAAATCAGGCCAGCAGTCACTTTGGATCTGACACAGAACACTCATTTTTAGTTGGCCACTGTTCTCAGAAACATATTGAGAATATTATGACTGTACTCTTCTTCTACAAGCCATGCATAGTTCCCATTGATTTCTGTATTATGATCCACAAACATTTATTAGGAGGTAGCATTTAGCCGTATCTGCTAATGTGGATGTATGTGTGTTTCCATCTATTTCTGTGCATGTGAACAATCATAAAGCAAAAAAAAAAAAAAAAAGAGAAAAGGTCACTATTGTATTGTTGTAATAACTGGGAGGAGCACGTTTGTATTTCACACTTTCGTTGGAGTGTCTCTTTTGTCATTTCAATCCCAGCAGTATCTGGAAATTCTTTATTTTCCCGGTATTTTTTCATGGGCAAAGTTGTGCTGTACCATTGAATAAAACTGTGACATGATTTAGGCAGAATTAGACCATTTATTTTTTAAAAATTTGTGACTCTTCTGATTTTGGGACTTCTTTTCTTCTAGTCATATCTACTAAAAGCAGGAACTTAACTAGATTTAGGGGTCTGGCTTTAACAGTGATTTGGGATTGGGTATGTCAAGAAAGAGATGAAAAATATTCCTCTCATTTTGGGGGAATTTCCTTGTGTGGTTCACTTGCAAATTTGAACATCATTATTGATAATGACATTATCTCATACTAAAAAAAAATTAAAGAACAGTTCAGGTTCTTGTGTTATATTTCTCTGTTTAAAGCTTTTATTTTAATTAACTCATCATTGTATAAAAGCACATACAGTTTTGATAGACAACAATAAATTAATTCAAGATTCGTGCCCATTATATGAAGTAATTTGAACTTTGTCTATCTTTGAAACCAGCTCAGGAGGTTGGACTGGATGACCTCCAGAGGTCCCTTCCATCCTAAATTACTCTGATTCTGTTAAGTGGAGAAACATGCCAAACACGTAGCTGCAAAATTCAGATAATTTTTCCCGTGACGTGTATGTGTAAACACATTTCACTGTAAAAAGCTGCTGTTCTGACTCCTGGGAAGTTGTGGGGTTTTCTGGGCATATGAGCATGCTATTATTTCCTTTGGGGACCCAAAGTTCCATACAGATTGTTCCAGTGAAAATAAAAGGTGTGAAAAGAAAGGTGTGAAACAAAGTAACACAATCTCTTCAGCAAGCTGAAATGGCTGGAACCTTCTGCAAAATTACATGTAAATTAATGTTGACTAATTTTAGTATTCACAAAGCAGTGATAGATGAAACCCCATGCTTTTTAAAACAGACTAGAATAACTTTTTCTCTATGTTCCTCCTGCTGGGATTAATTTAGTCTACCACATTTAACTAATCCCACAGCTACATAATGAGTCTTTTTGTAATTAGAAGATAACTACAGTTAAGAGTTGCACATGAAATCAAATCACTAGTCGATGAGTATCTGGGCGCACATTAGTCATTAAATCAACAAACATTTTATAAAAATATTTACAATATTTAGAAAGTGAAGGACTCTGTATTTAAAATCAGGATTTTTAAGATTATTAAAATCACCCAGCCTAAGGATATGCTTCACTGCTGCTTTCTATTGCAAAATTACTCTAAATGTTACATAATATTGTTTTAAATACAGATGTTACATTAAAGTAATATCAGTTTATAATTATTTACTTATGTACTGAAAAAACCAGGATTATATTTTTCATTTCCTTAACAAAGTGTGTGTGTGTTTGCATGAAATTCATCTGGGAATTTCTCAGTAACAAAGACATTATCTGTATTATAATTTTTGATTTATTTCTTCATCGCTATACTCAAAATTCCAAAAGAAATCCACAAAAATTTCTGGAGAACAAGCCCCAGCTCCATTATGACAAGAAGGCTTGGATTTAGGAGGAAAAGAAGCTCATTGTGAAAAATCAGGGCTGAGAAAACCATTTGACCTTGACCAATACACAGGCAGGCAATGAGAGAAGTTTGGGATGACTGTGCTAATGATGCATCTGCTTGACTGTCAGGTTAAATTCAAGACTTAATATAATCTCTGTGTAACTTCTCTCCAGTTTAATCTTCTTTCTTCTTTCAGTCTTTGTGTAAAAAAGGCCAGACCTTCTCAAGTAAAAGCCTGTTTATGTTATCAAAACAGGTTGAATTTCTATGAATTACCATTAAATTATTTTACCCACATCTTTTACTTGAATTGCAATCGAAATTAAATCTCTGTAAGAGAATGAAGAGCTTTGATCTATACCCATGAATCTGGTAGGGATTAGTACTCCTAAAAAAGGCTGTTTGAGAAATAAGGCAGTGGGAAATAAATGTTTGAATACCTTCTCCCTCTTCCTCTATTGCTTGAGGGTGTGTTACAAGTAAAATACATGCAATTTTTACACGTAAAAACTGGAAAAGAGATGATGATAGTCATCATCATTACTAGGTTTGGTACATGTGTCCATTCCAGCACTACTTTGTCCATAAGGAAGCAGCATCCAGGTTACTAGCTCCCCAGGGTTCACATAAAGGTTGTAGTCTTAGTGGCTACCGAAACCTGACCACTTTCCGAAGTTGGAACTAACTTTGTGGTTTGCAAAAGTTGAGGGGAAAGAATGCTGCCTAAGGGATGTTGGGACAAGTTCACATGCACAAATACTTATTGGCAGGGTTTCTAGCTGATGGCACGCATTGACTCTGGTGGTGAAGAACCACAAACTAGGAGAGAGATTGAAAAGGGAAAGGACAAACTTCTCATTCCAGTGGCCAGCTGGGGTGAGAAGTATCAGGGGAACTGCAGGAAAGCTCCCTTCCCTTTGTGTCCTGTCTAGTGCAGTGGGTGGTTCTCCCTGTAATACTTCTCCCATAGTGACTGTATGGTTTTCTTCAGGACCTGCTCCAACTCACGGATGACTGTTCCTGCGTGTGATGCTGTAGGTGCTGACTGGAGCACGCTTATGTTGGGGGCAGGTGCTGCATGCTGCTCGGCTGTTAAGCTCTCTGCATGCTTATTATTGGGTCCTCTAATGAAAACCAAAAGCCACAACTGAGGAGAGGGAAAAGGGGAAAAAAGAGGTAATACCCATGCTAGTGGCATTCCTTTCCCATGAGAACCCACCACTGCAGCACCATTTGGGTTGGCATGTGCAGGCCTTGGGCATAATAGCCAGGGCTGCAAATAGCAAGCTTTAAGCAATACAAAAGGCTGAGGTCCCAAAGGCACTGTGCAACAACCCAAGTGGTAATTTCACCCTGTTATTAAAGTTTTTGTGACTGCATTAGCAGATGATTTGAAAACCTTTGGGAAAGGCAGGTGTCACAGGCAAATAGTAAGTGCTGCAAAACCTGACTTAGCCTCATGGCAATTAAATGCTATGACTTTTGCCTTGGGTTTTTTCCCTCAAAGTTTATATTACCTCAGCATAGTTTTGTGCACTCTTCTGACATCATACTCTTCTAGGTGTATGTTTTCTATGATTAATAAAATTTTCCAAGGAGGTGTTATGTCCTATTTTGGCAGCTCTCGTAAAGAAGAAATCCATTTCCTTCCTCTTTATGAACATTATGCTGTTACCACTCCATACACAGAGTGTTTAATGGCAGTCATTGAGAGGATCCTTGGCAATTTCTTGTGTTTCTTGTCTGATTTTCCCAAAAATATATGTTTATGAAAAAACATAATTTGCAAAAAAAAAAAAAAATCCATTCAGGTTTCTGTATGTGGGGTCATACTGTACAGTTGTTTCAATTTACCTTTGCAGCAGATTCTGTCTTGAGCTGTTTCATGGCACTTGATCTGTGCACTATTGATGTGTGCAGAGGAAATCTGAGTTTCCTTTCTTCAAGCTCTTCGCTATTTTAATTTTTTCTATTGGATATACCCCAACCATGACTCTTTTTAACACCCTTCTGGTTATTTTCCCCTCATTCTGTTACCTTGCACAGCATATGTCAGCTCACCTGTGGTATGTTGTCCTTTGCTGACCTTAGTGTGTCTCAAGGAAGGGAGGCCTCCTGCTCTCTTGGGGGAGTGACTGCTCTTATCAGTGTTAGCATACTTCTCCTGTATAGTAGATGAGGTCAGGAAGAGGTATGCCCTCCTTCCCTGGGAAATTGCTGGCTTACTGGATACCCTGCCCTAGGTCGTTCTTACTCTCTGAAACATCTTGTGCACCTCAGCACACAAAAAAGCACACTCTGCTGAGCTGTGCTAAATTTTTGCTTCTCACCATGACCCTTGCTTTTCCCTTGTTCACTTTCAAGCACTATTCTTGGTGGGTTCTACAATAACCATGAACACAGATTTCCAGGGCTTCTTGATCTGTTCTTAATGCCTGTGTCAATATGTCAGTGTGCCAGAGGCATAAGTCTGTCAGGGTCTAGACTTCATCACGGTTTTGGGTGGTACTTTGCTGGACCTGGTCATGCAGTCATGCCCTGGGCTATGTTAGGAAGAGCCAAGCCAGCACACTGAGGGAGGTGATCCTTCCCCTCAGCACTGGTGATGCCAAATCTGCAGTGCTGGGTCCAGTCCTGAGCACCCGAGTACAGGGAGATACGGCTTTACTGCAGCAAGGTCAGTGAAGAGCCACAAAGATGACTGAGGGACTGAAATATCTTTCATTTGAGAAAAAAGGCTGAGAGAGGTGCGGCAGTTCAGCCTGGGGAAGAGAAGGCTTAGGGGGGATGTCATCAACATGGGGTTTGTTATTTGGATTTTTTTTAAGATGGGAAGAAAAGAATTGCATGAGCTATTCAAGAACTATGCACGTGAAACTATGGTTTCATACAATGTCATCAAGATGCTTGATTCTCTATTCTTTTCCTAATAATTGCTGCCCTTATATTTGCCTTTTCAACCACTGCTATAATTCATTTTTGGGGTTTTTTTTTCAAAGAACTGGTCACAGTGACTCCTGTATTTTTTTCTGAGATTGTAATAACTTGGGGGGAAGCCTGCTTTTGCAAGTTAAAAGTTGTTTTCCCCATGCCTGCTGTTTTGCATTTGTCATGTTGGATTTTGTCTGCTATTTTATGGCCCAGTCACAGTAGTGTGAAACACTTACGCAACTTTTTCCAGGTGTCGTTGCTTTTGAATACTCTGAATAATATTAAAACCCCATCAAACATTGCCACATTACTATTCCGTTCCTGTTTACAAAACATTTAGAAAGACATTGAAAAATTCTCTGAGTGCTCCAACACAGTCCCTTCAGTGTAGAAGTTGACCATTTATTTACTGTTTTTCACCTTCTATTTTTACCTTTTACCAGTCCAATTTGCCTCCATTTCTCTGGAACTGTCCCAGTGTTTGGAAGATACTGAAAATCAATATACATAATCCAGAACTTTTATAGGATGCTTGGGCGTAGTTGATTGGACCTACTGTTTAAAAATGTCTCAGCATTGGTATCTATTCTGTGGCTTTCTATACTCATGAGCTGATATTTTCGAACCGCAATTATTCTTTAGCATAATGTAAATACATCATTTAGCTTTCCCCTTAATAGAGAATGGCCATTTTTATTTTATGGTTCTGCTTTTTTTTTTATTATAATTAACTGTTTTACATTTTCTTATAATAGTTGATCA